ATTATTTATATATATTATTTTCTTTCTTTTTCAAATTAATAAATATTATATATTAATTATAAATATGCATACATTTTAGATGTTTCGAGTGGAAATCTAGCACTTTCAGCTTATCGATTTACACAAACATTTATGAGGCTTACAAGGAAGGAAAATTTACATCAGAATCACTTGTAAAAAATAAATTAACATTTCTGAAGAATTGCCAATTGTAATCAAAAATTCACATTTGGTTACTGCACTCTTAGATTCTCTGGATGATTTTGAAAATTTTATACCAAAAACTTATCCCATCAGTATAAACAAAGAATCGGTTACTGATCCTTTAACACCCGATTTTGAAACACTAGAATTAAGTCTGGATTCCTTACATGGAAAAAATTTTGAATTTTTGTTGAAATCAATCGAAGATAATAATTACGAACAAAACAATTTTGCCTTCTGGCAAAAAAATGTCACAAAAGCGCAATCTGCTTTACAAAAAAAAGAGTAAATTTTTATTATTATTTTTTTTTAAATCGGGGAAAATATATGTATTAATTTTTTATATTCTGGGTAACAATTATTATTATCAGAAATAAGAAAATGAAGCACGCAAGGAATCACAAAAATAAAACCTATTTTATTTTTTTTGATATGACATTCATCATGTGATAACTTAATATTTTCCACTGAGCAAACATTGTGAAATGTTAAACAGTCAAATTTCGTCGAAACACGATTAGTATTTTGGTATATCGAATTTAAATGCAACTTTCCCAATGGATTCAAAAACATTTTTTATTGGAAGCATAAATATTTTTAAAACTCTCTCCCTGTTCTCATTTAAAAATTTTTAGTTTGTCATAAAATTATTAAATGTTCTAGTTAATTATTGTTTTACTTTATGTTAAAATATTCGACTATTTTCAGTTGTCTGCAAATCGTGATTTTATAAAACAGTAATCTATATTAAACTTTGAGCTGGCTCATTCAGAACTTTAATGCTCACCCCAGAAAATACATATAGGATCGCCCCACGCCGTGGCAGTCCTGC